AACTGAGCAGGTGTGTCCCATTCCAATGGAAGGGAGCTGGCTGTGGTGGCCGATGGCAGTCTCAAGGTCAAGCACACCCTCTTACTTATTTTCACATTGCTGTGATAAAATAACCTGATTAAAAAAACTTAAGGGAGAGAGGGCTTATTTTAGCTCACAGTTCCAGGGAGACACAGTCCATCATGGCAGGGAAGACGTGGTAGGAGCAGGAAGTTGCCTGCTCCTATTTTATCTGCCCTCAGGAAGCTGAACGTGAACAGGAAGTGGGTTGGGCTATAAGGTCTGATGGCCCGCCTCCAGTGACCCGCTTCCTTCAGAGAGACTCCACCTCCGAAAGACTCCACAACCTTCCCAAACAGCATCCCTAGCTAGCTGTAGGTGGTTAGGGGTGTGGAGATCTGCTCATCAACACACCCAGGGGAGGAAGACATAAGCTCCTGGTGAGGTAATCTCATCTTCTAGGTCCCTGTCCACAGCCCAGGGCCCATGATCCCAGCACTGGCACCACATCTTACCACAGGGAACTTAAACAATTACATCTCAAAATGAAGCTAGTTTTAAATCAGGGGCACATTTCAGTGATCTAAGCTGCCCATGAAGCCAAGGCTCCTTATGCTTGGACAACATCCCATCTCTGCCTCAGCCCGCGGGCCTGGCCAGGGCTCAGACTCTCAGTTACCCTCAGAAGCAGGTGCTCCTCACAGCTGCTCTCCAGTTAAGGACAAAAAACTCAACCTTGGCTTTAAATAGACCCAGTTTCCTCGGAGGAACCAGGGAAGCATGCTAAACTAGTCAGGATTCCTCAACCACACAGTAATCTGGGGAACAGCTCAGAAGCATACCTGTGTCCCTGACACCTGATGTCCCAAGCCCACCCTATCGTAAGGGGCAGAATAAAACTGCAAGTTCTGGCTTATGGCAACCATCGAGGGTTCTGTTCATTTCCAGTCGGACCTTAAGTACAAGAGAGGTCTGCAGACAGTGGTCCCCTACAGTGTCTCTTGGGGACCCAGACCAGTGAGTCATGCTGGGACTCTGACATCTTGGCCAAGGTGCAGGCTGAGACAGAGATGACATGTTCATATGTAAAGGGCTATGTCAGGGGACCAACAGGCATCATGGAACATGCTGGGGGGTTGGCAAAGCCACGCCTGAGTGAGCCTTGGAGAGGCAAAGCCCAGAGAGCTACATATCCTGGGGACCTCCTGCTGTTACTGCGCATAGCACTGATTGTTGCCTTTATGGCCACCACGTCCCTCATAATCTATGGGTTGTATGAAAACGCTCAGGAGGTTTCTAGCACCTCACTGGGCAGGGTTACTTGGTAGTTATAATAACAGTAATTTACTTTTTCCAAGCATTGCTGCTGGAGCAGATTAATGATTCAACCACCACCCTTTGAAAGAATTTAAACATGCATAATTGTTAGTAAGGTTAGGTTAAGGTGTTTTTTTATTAATGGCTTCGAGGTAGAAAATCTTTGGGAACAATTTCAAGTTTAGAAAGGCACATTGTTGAGTGAGGGACTCGCTGAGGTCAAGAGACAAGGACAACGGCCGCCTGGTTGTTGCTGGCTGATGTACCTTTCTTGCTAGGATGGGTTGGTAATCAGAGGTGATGATTAATTTCTTGTACCCATTTCTGCCCTCGTCTTCCTGATATAAAAAAAAACAAAAACTGTTGATGAGGCTGGGAGATGGTGGCACACACCTTTAATCCTAGTACTAAGGAGGCAAGCAGATCTTTGTGAGTTTGAGGCCAACCTGGTCTACAGAGAGAGTTCCAGAACAGGCTCCAAAGCTACACAGAAAAACTCTTGTCTCCAAAAACAAAAACAAAAACAAAAATAAACAAACAAACCCCAAACTGTTGATGAGTGGGTATGCACTGAAGGATTTAAAATAGAGCTGACTGGTTGTTTTTCACATATAAAAGTTTAGATTTGTCATTCCTTTAAGTTTTTTTTTATGATTACCATTTAAGATAATAATAAAGTGATTGCTCCTTTCTTTGTAACCACAAAATGTAGCCTGCCAGTAAAAGAACTGGCTGAGAAAAATCTCTTGCTTGCTTACACTCTGTTAATCTATAACAAGTTGCTTGGACTTGAGTGTATGTGGGTTCTTAGAGATAATTTGTTTTTCACCTGTGATACGTAAAATGTTTAATCATGTAAGGGAAATGGGAAACACTTTTTTTACTTGTAGTAATTGTAGCCATTCACTTAAAAATAGATTGTAGCCACATTATAATTTTTATACCACTTGGAAGATTTTGGTGGGGTATATAAGCTGTAAGGGGAAAAAAAAGTTAGAAGGAAGACGTCAAGAAAGGGACAGAAGGGATACACCTGGATAGAGGTGAGAAAAGAAAGAAAGAGAAGAAAGATGATGGAGAGACCCTAAAGGGTGTGTGTGTGTGTGTGTGTGTGTGTGTGTGTGTGTGCAGTTTCCCCCTTTCCACAGCCCCAGAGAGTTAAGTTTTGCTCCCTCAGATAGAAAAGTCAAGTTGAGTGGTCAGTTTACTGACTCGGTGGATCCCCCTCAGCCCTGAGCTGCTGAAGGCTGCTCCTTACGGCAGCAATATTCATGGGGTGTGTGAGGATCCCTGGTTCTGACCTGACAGCTAAAACCACTAATGCACCCTCGCTTTACATCTCGCTTCATGTTGAAACATAAATCACATGCCACCCCATCATCCATGTTTGTGATGTGTTCCAGTAGAGTCCCAGAGTCCTCTGTTCTGCACCAAGAAGCCATTTTATCAACAGTGTCATCCTCACAGATAGAAACCCTATGTCCCTGGCTGTCCCTGTCACGCCTCATCTTTGCCCAGAACTGTGAGGAAGGATGGACCTCCCCGCTCCGACTGGCCTGTGTGGACAGTCCCACGGCTGGCTGTGTTCTCAGCAGGCCTTGCGCTTTAAACATGAGAGAAACCCTGACTGGAGGAGGAACAGGTAAGGCTGGCCCCTCCAGATGTCTTTCTCCTGCTCAGACCCTCCAGCTGCTCCCAGTTCACTCCCAGTAAAGAACAAATCCCACCCCACCCCCTAGCCCCCGCCCAGGCACCCAGGGCCAACTATGCCGGCAACCTCAGTTGTTACCCATGGCCCTTTGACCTCACCGTACCTTTGCACCTGGGCACTCTGCACCTCAGCAGACACCTCTCCCTAGTCCTCAGCGCTCTCCTGTGCTCTTTTCACTTCATCTTTGATCCTGTGTGCTGACCGGTCCCCTTTTATGACAGGGACATCAGCTCTAGGGTGTAGGGGACTTGGCCTGGTTGCTGGTTGCTGTACCCCCATCCCTAGTCCATGGCAGTCACTTTCCCAGCGAACCAGTCAGTCCCAGTTTCTCCACCCTGGAATATCTCTGCCCAAGAATGGTTGTGGCCAGAGGCTTGCAGAGAAGCAGTAATAGCACCACACCAAGTGTGCATCAAGTGCCCCTCTCCCCCGGTCAACTCTACCCCCTCATTCCTGTGGACCATCAAAACACATAACTTTATTTGATGCAGTGGATCCTGTTATGGTCCCATTTTAGAGACAAAGACACTGAGGCGAAGAGGTGGAGCCTCTGGTTCAGGTGTACTTTGCAAATGGGACGAAGTCTGCCTGCTACAAGACCAACTGCCTGTCCCCTCCTGCCAGGCTCGGGGGTCCCTTGGCCTGCACAGTTGGTGCCCAGCAGGGTCAGAGCCCTCGAGCTCAGCCAGTTCCACCACTTGAGCCTGTCTACTCTTCTCTGAGAGAGGACCAAGGCCAGAGCAGTGGGTGGGTGAGAGGGCGGTGTAGAGATGGAGGCAAAGCCGCGCAGGGACAGGGAAACGGGGTGGAGCTGCCTTCTGGGCAGGGGTTGAGTGGGCAATGAGGATGGACAGGAGGGTCCAACATCTCATGAGTGGACTGGGGCTGGCACATGATGACAGGAAGCTGCCCGCATGAAAAGAGGTAGATGAGATGAGACCTGGAGCCCAAAGCCATGAATGTAGACGGCACAGCCTGTCCCCAAGGCTGACAGTCGCACCGTCCGTGGGCATGAGAAGATGCTGGGCTGCTGTGTGAATTTGCTGGTACTGTAATCGGATATCTGGCACTGAGTAACTGTAGGGTCCCCGTTTTTCCTTGTGGTCCATTGGCCACCAATCCACGAGGACAAAGGGGCCGAAGTGTCAATAGAGAGCTTTATACGGCCTGTGAACAGGGCAGAAACAGCCTCCTGGGAGACATCTTCAGTGAGACAGCTCAACTCTGTTCCAGAGTGAGGGGAGATATAAAGGATGGGCACCGAGGCTGGGACGTCACCTAATTTGCATTAAACAGCATGTCCTGATCCTAAGGCTCCTAGTACAAACCTAATTACCATATGGGCAGCAGGGGAAAACTTCTGCAGGGAACTGTGTCCAGGGTCACACTAGAGATAAGTCAAACATCCGGGCTGAGAGACATTCTCCAAAGAAGGTCAGGTAGAGAGCAGGAAGTCCTCCACCAGGAGGGGAGTCTTCCATGTTGCCAAGCTTGGAGAAAGCTGCCAGGCCATGGTAGACTGCAACCTCTAACCACCACGGCCTCCTAAGTTAAGGCAACATAGAAAAGAGTTTTATTTGCCCATGGGTAGTGGCTCCATTACTGCATGGCAGACAACTGTAGAAGGAGGGGCTGGGCTTGTTCTTCTAGAACCACAGTTCTCTGGAGAGCTATCCCTGCACTGTGAGAACTGTGTGGATCCCCTCTGGGACATGCCCCTGTGACCCTATGACTTCTCACCAGGTCCCTCCTCTTAAAGGATCTACTTCCTTTACAGATGTCTACCATGATGGTTTGCAAGAAAATGGCCCCCAAAGGGAGTGGCACTATTAGGAGGTGTGGCTTTGTTGAAGTGGGTGTGGCCTTGTTGGAGAAAGTGTGTCACTGTAGAGGCAGGCTTTGAGGTCTCATATACACCCAAGCCACACCCAGTGTCTCAGACCACTTCCTGTTGCCTACCTCTCCAGCACCATGTCTGCCTGCATGCTGCCATGTCCCACCATGATGATAATGGACTGAACCTCTGAAACTGTAAGCTGCCACCTCAATGAAATGCTCTCCTTTGTAAGAGTTGCCATGGTCATGTGTCTCTTCACAGCAATAGACACCCTCACTAAGACATCTACACTGAAGGCTAAGCTTCCAGAACATGAGCCCTTGGATTTCAGTTCAAATCACAGAAAAAGCATGGCAGGAGCTTTTCCGGCTTAGCTTTGGCTCTGCAGGTAGTGTAGACATCAAAGCTGACTGTGTCAGCACTGGGACACGCTGCAGGGGAGGCCTGCCTCTGTGGCGTTACTAACTGCAGAAGACTCTTGATGGTACTGTTCAGTGGCCGGGGTCTCCCCACCCCAAACTGGTTCGGATATAGACTAAGGACCACAGGCAGAATGCAAGCAGATTATTGTTTACACTAAGCCCACAGGGGAAACCAGGGCCCTCCATACACTATTGGGGAGCCACTTCAGAGGTGAAGGAGCTAAGCTGGGGGGATTTAGGAACAGACTCCCCCTGATGGGCAGGGCTTTGTATAGTTGAACCCTCGTGTCAGTACCAAGGGTGAGAGTCCCGGAATAAGTGGGAAGCTAGTGGTCACAGCTAACCATGGGGTCAGAAAGGACCAGCCCTTCCACATTCTGCAGGCAAATGGCTGTCCTTGCTGTCTGTACTACTTTTCCTTTTAGAAGATCTTTTGCAAAAACATTATCAAAAATGAATCACAGCCACTGTGTGGAAAGTGTGGCCGTTTCTCAAAAAAACCACTGTAGACCTATCGGAGTAGTCCCACGCGGGCATCTACAGCGGAAGGAACAGAATGGGGCACTGACACACTCCTGTCCCTGCAGGGCATGCACCACTGCTCAAGGTGGGAGCCACCTCCCGGTCCATCCTTGGAAGCACAGCATTGCAGGTCTCAGTCTGTTTGTGTGTTCTTGTAAGAAGACACCCAGCACTGGGTTGCATTAGTTACTTTTCTGTTGCTGTGACAAAGTACCGTACCCCGACAAAAGAATCTGCAGGAAGGGTTTATATGAGGCTCTAGTCCATTGCTGGAGAGAGAGAGAGAGAGAGAGAGAGAGAGAGAGAGAGAGAGAGAGAGAGAGAGAGAAGAATGCTGATGTTCCGCTTGCTTTCTCTCTTTTTGTTTAGTCCTGGAACCCAGCCCATGGGATAGTGCCACCCATGATTAGCGTCTCAATTAACTTAGTCTTGGTACTCTCCCACTGGCACATCCAGAAGCCTGTCTCCCAGGTGATTTTAGGTCCTGTCAGATAGATAAATCAATATGAGCCGTTGTGCTGGGGCATTCGTAAAGTGGAGAGGTTTATGTGGCTCATAACTTTGGCTGCTGCCAAGGCGATGCAGCATGACCAGTGCCCAACATGGGTTCCCTGGCCGCACCACACTGTGGCCAGCGCCATTGATGGGGAGAGGGGGAGTGTGGTGAGCAATGTGAGCCAGGTCCAATGCAGCTTGTGTCCTGGAACCCTGGCTAGGGGCAGTGATGGAATGAAGGAAGGACGGACTCCCAGACAAATGTACAGTGAAGCTGGCATCAGGTGGGATTCTCTAATGTTAACTCGACTGCCAAAACCCAGAACCTTGGTGTGTTTATTAGGTATAGCACAGGGAAGGCGTTAGCTAGGCTCCACTGAAGGTCTCTGTAGGCCAGCAGTCTCAGGCTGTAAAGGAGGAAGCCTCAGCTGATAGTCCTTGCATACACTGATCAATTGTCCAGAAACAGACTCAGACAGACTTTTTTAGTTAGTTTGTTTGTGACAGGGTTTCTTTCTCTGTGTAGCTTTGGAGCCTTTCTTGGAACTCAATCTGTAGCCCAGGCTGAACTCACAGAGATCGGCCTGTCTCTGCCTCCCGAGGGCTGGGATTAAAGGCGTGAGCCACCACCATCCACCCAGACAGATTCTTGAGAAGAGCTTTGCCATTTCTCTTGAGCCTGGGCCATTTGGGTAATAACTTTGCCAGTTGTCCCATGGGTCCAAGGTCTTGGAGTCCTTGACATGACTGTGTCCATGCCAAACTATACATTCACTCAGGACTTCACTCACTCAGGGCTTCCTCTGCTCTCTATAAATAGAGGGAGGGGAAGTGCTAGACTTCGGGAGAATGCTCTCAGGCAGTGACTGGTCCTGTCCTGAGAGCGCTGAGAGGGGTGTTCATTTGTCTGAAGTTCCTGCCCCAGTCACCTGATGACCATCCCCCATACCTCCACACTGTTGTTGGTGGGAATGGATGGATCCTTGAGGTGTGGGGGCCTGGCTTCAAGTACCTGCTAGGTGTGTTGTTCCATGCATTCCTTTGAGATCAGTTCCGCCAAGGACTACAGTGGTACTCAAGTCTCACGGGCATCCTTGACTCTGCAAAAAGCTCTTGGTTGCAGCCAGCTCTTGGGTGCCAACATTGCTAGGTGACTGTCCTCCCAGGCCTATCTGGGTCCCCAAGGCGTAGCCTCCTGGCCTAGTCCCAGAGAATGCCCTGTCAGGGTCTGGGAACCCCTCGTTGTAGCCCCGAGTGCTGTGTTTCCTGTCATGCGGTTTTTACACTGACAGAGACAGAAACAGCTGCAAACGCAAGTGGGCGGGGCCCCAAGAGCACATGCCAGGCTGGAGCCAGGGTAAAGGTCAGACTGCAGAGGTCATAAGGAGGCAGCAAGGAGACAGGGGAGCAAGATGGGGTGGAGGCAGGAAGCCCCTTTCCCATGGGAGTGGTAAGACAGGTCCTGGCGGTGGAGGGCAAACGGTGTGGAAGATGAGCCTGGGAGCCATGAGGAGGGTCTGTGCTGAGCAGGTGCTCGTGGCTGTTGGCCTGTGCTGTAGGTGGAATGATACTCTGGGGCTTCCTGAGCCGTGAGTGAAGTTCCTTTACCTCACTCACAGCATCATGGAACTAACACAAAGATGCTTGGTGAAGAGCCAAGAGCAGAGAATGAGTCAGTCCCCCTTACTCTTAGTCATCCTTGGGGTTTCTGGCCCTCATGTGTTCTGCCTTTCCACAGAGCGTCCATGTTGCTTGTACCTGGTGAAGGCAGGCCCAGCCCCAGGAAGGTTTAATCCTGTTTGTCAGCTGCTGTGGTGTGCATGGTGGGCCTACCTTCAGTACCTGCAGATGTGGCCAGATCTAAGATGAACTTGAAACAGGGAGGGGGTCTGCAGTCTGAAACCATGTCCCCACTGAGATAGCGCCTTTGGGGGGAGGTCTTGGGATGTTGTTCTGCGGGTTGGCTGACCCCCGACATAGCTGAACTCCTCACTGGGCTTGGCCAGGACCCAGGCGGGGACATCAGAGCCTTTTTGCTCCAGTAGGCACCAGCAGGGCCACCATGGCAGCTGAGCAGCATCCCTAGGAAGGGGACCTTGTAGACACAGTGACTCCTGCACCTGGATTAAGGCAAAGCCCTCAGTCCCTCCCCCACCCCATCCCAAACAATCCAGGTTTCCCAGGTCTAGTGGGCAGGCCTGGAATCCCTACTCTGGAGCTGAGAATTGGAGGAAACAAGATCAAATTGATCACTATTGTCCAATTAAAGCAAGCTGTGTTGGGGTGCACTTGGGACTGGCCAGTCCGTTGTCTCATCCCAAGTCAGGATTTGAGAGAGCAGCGGCTGCTGGCCCTTTCACAGGAGAGATAAGATGTTCTCAGGGTGGAGAGAGTTGGCTGTTACACATTGTTAGAAAGATACAATGGAAGGGTGGGAACAAGGGTAAGGATGGACGTCATGTGAATGGGGTCCCATGTGGTTCCAAGCAGATCTAAGAAACAGGAACTTACTCCCATTTACAAATAGAAAACTACTTTGCAAGGACTTAATACAGGACAAACAGACTTATGCTTTAACTAGGACTTTATCCCAGGGCAAACAGGAACTTCTTAATTACAAGTAGAAACTAACTTGCAAGACTTAATTAACCTAGGACAAGAAGAAACTTACTCTTTAACCAGGATTTGAGGCAGGACAAACAGAAACATTTTCTTAGTTACAAATAAAAACCTTGACTTGTAAGACTTAACACAGTACAAACAGGAACTTATTCTTTTCTGTCTTAACTGCAAACAGAACCCTTAACCTGCAAGGTCTATTTTTCCTGTTTTGGTCTCCCATTAACTTGCAAGGTAGATTTGTTTTTGTTTGGGTCTCTTAGAGCACCCTGAGCTAGACTGTGTTCAAGGCCAGCCTAGGCAGAGACTGTCCCAATATGAAAAATTAAAAAAGGGCTCGGGATGGAATGTAGATCCATGGTAGAGCGCTTGTCTGGCGTGCATGAGGTCTCATAATCAATCTCCAATACTGCAAGTTTTAAAATTAATCAACCAATTAATTTTTTGTTTTGATTTTTGTTTTTCGAGACAGGGTTTCTCCATGTAAGTTTTGGTGCCTGTCCTGGATCTCACTCTGTAGACCAGGCTGGCCTCAAACTCACAGAGATCCGCCCGGCTCTGCCTACTGAGTGCTGGGATTAAATGCGTGCACCATCACCACCCAGCCCAATTAATTTTTTATTTATGTGTATTGTTTTGCCTGCATATATGTCTGTGTGAGGGTGTCGGCTACTCTGGAACTGGAATTACAGACAGTTGTGAGCTGCTACGTGGGGGCTGGGAATTGAACCCCAGTCCTCTGTAAGAGCAACCAGTGCTCTTAACCACTGAGCCATCTCTCCAGTCCCTTTAAGACTGCAATTTTTAAAAATATGTTTGTAATACAAGCCCTGGACAAATTGGGCTGTGGGGGAAATGTGCACTTCTCACTTCTATTGGGACTCCTCTGATTCTACAAGTGACTTAATTAAATTAATGTCCTTTAGGAAAGAAAGTATTAAATAGATAATAGCCATGATCTCATTTAGCTGGAGGTAATTTGCATATATATACATATACATACATACACACACACACACACACACACACACACACACATATATTTGCACCGGAAGTTCTGGAAAACAAACCCTGTTTTTGACATGATTTCCGTTATGACAGCAGACATTCATTCTCTGGGCACTGAGATCACGGCTGCAGTGTGAGCTCCTGGCAGGAAGCTGTGCTGTTTTTCTGTCAAGCTAAAACCCAGCAGCCTGAAGCAGCAGCCGCAGCAAGGGGCCAGGGGCTGGTGACGCGGCTCGGTTTCAGAGTGGACCTGGGTTCCATCCTCAGCACGGAGCAAAGCAGGTGTTGTGGCACACGCCTGCACTCCCAGCACTTAGGAGGTGAAGGTAAGGGGATGAGGAGCCCAGATGGCTCCAGGAGACCCCACCCCACACACTGGCAACAACAAACCAAAACCAATTGTGGCAGAATGTGAAGGGGCTTTGAACCGTCCCGATCCATCTGGAGGAGACAGGCAGACTCTTCAGTTCGCTTTTCTTCTTACACAACCTGTTGTTATGACCGACTGTTCTCTCTCAAGAGGAGACCGGGGCGAGCTCTTTATGAGTTTGAAGGTTTTATTGACCCCCACGGACCTGGCTGGGGCACACACACACTCCCGTGACTACAAGTCCAGAGGCGGTCCCTGAGCTGATCGAGCAGGGGTGTTATAAAAGCAAAGACTAGGAGCTGGGAACGTGGCCGACACAGATGCATTGGCTGTCACTGTTTGGTCAGGGAGGGGAAGAGAAAACCTTGTGGGTGCCGAAGCGGGACAATGGCAGGTGAGTAATGTGTGGTTCCTGTAACTACTAGGTGTGTTGGAGGGTCAGGCTGACCTCAATTCCCCAATTTTAGTCTGAAGTCTGGTCAGGTTTTAGCAAACACGTTTTCCTCATTTCACTGTGACCTGAGCTCATTTTCAGTGTTCTTTAAAGTGAACCCTTTATCATAGTGGCTCTCGCTCCTGAGCTACCCGGAGGACACCCCTCCCCCATACTTGTCAGTTGCTCACGGCTGCTCTGTGGTCTTGCTGTTGGACTGGCATGGAGACCACAGCCTCAGAGTTGGATGAGGAGGTCATTGAAATCACAGAGCAATCCCTGACCACACAGGCAGAGCCCAAGGCCAGCCTCACCCAGCCTCGTCAGTTATCCTGAGAGCTTTTGTTACAGCAGGGGCTAAGCATGGGCGTGTCAAGTGCTCATCCCCCACCTCAGCACACTGCTAAGACATAAGCACTATGATTTTCTCCATCTGAAGTGAGGAAACTGAGGGCCAGAGAGGTGAAGGAACCTGCCAGGAGAAACACAGTTAGCTGTCAGCTCGGGGACCAGGATGTCAATTCTGGCCCATGTCGGTGACAGATTACAGATCTAAGGAAGGTGTCCACTGCTTCCTAGCCAGGCAGATGAAGCAAGAACCCAGGGGTGGGGGCAGGGGGTGGTGGGGAGGCAAGGAATCTGCTGAGGTAAACAAAAAGGATGGAGTTGTAAGTTTTTTTTTTTTATCACCTTGGGGACCAGTGGGGAGACCAGTGAGGTTGGCTGGCGCCCTTTTAGCAGATGTCTGGAGATTCCAGCTTCTAATTGTGGGCACCCACAGAAATTCAAACCAGTAGGACAGTGTGGATTCTCTCAGTAGATAATTATTTATAATTAGCACTGCAGTGCCATGAGATTGTTTTTAAATTGCTGCAAAATAGTCTCCAAGGGTTTTGAACATTCCCTGAATAAGTTTAATTTTGATTAATTTGTAATAAGTTGTAACACCAACCAAAATTTGTTTCTCAAAGAGTACATAAATTCTAGCCTGGCCCTGGGGAAGGGAGACATTTAACCTCTCAGTGACTGCTGACGGTGACTGTACATATAGGGAAGGAGGCAGGTGGGTGGAGAGCACCCCAGAACTCTTCCTAACCATTCGGTCAGGGTGACGTTGACCAACCCCAGGACGGTGGGCATGTGCAGGCTCTGACCTGTCTGCCTGTCAGACGGTCTGAGGTATGGGATCCCCTAAGGTGGCTGAGTTTTGCTGGGAGGGCTCTGGCTCCAGGACCAGCTTAATGCTCAGTGATTGCAAGCTCGGGGTGAGGCCCGAATCCAGGGCCTTGGAAGGACTGGTCTTCAGCAGGGCACACAAGCCCGCACCTGCCTGGGCTCCACTGACTGCAGCAGTGGAAGCCAGACAAACAACCCGTCCAGCCCAGGTATTTGCTGTCTGGAGAGGCAAAGGGGTGACAGGATTTGCAGGCCATTGGTCTACGGGAAGCTTCTGAACCCAAAGAGACTCCATCTCTGTCATAAGCATTTGGAGATTTTATTGGGACTGTGACCTCTCGGTTACTTGGATTCTAAAATAAACACTGGCGGGTCACTGTGGGCAAGTGCTGCTCTCTGCAGGTCGCCTGCTGTGTTATTAATGAGAACTCAATTATAGATACCTAGCTTTGTAGGGCTCCCAGCATGCTCACTTCATCCTGCTGGGTCCCAGGGAGGGCCTTCCTCTGCCACAGTCAGCCACCTTCATGCCACAGTGTGCTAAGAAAGTCTGGAATGAGGAGGGACGCTGTGTGCTCAGGCCTCTTGCCAGGGACAGAGTTGGGGCCCTCGCTCGCTCCCCTTCTCACGTGACCTCCCAGTTCTGAAGGGCGGCAGGGTAGGAATTCAGATCCTTCTTTCTGCAGAGTCCAAACAACAGGCCACAGTTAAAGGCCAGGAAATAGAGAGGGGAGGTGTGTAGGAATCTGGCCATTTTGCACACAAAGCCAAGAGAGTGCATACAGACCCTGGGAAGGAAGAGCCTGGAAAGGGCACCGTGCTCACACTGGCCTCCTGCTCACCCACTAGGAGTCAGCCTTGGTCCAGTGTTTGGGGTGGTCCAGGCCAACCTTGCCCTGTGGGGGCTTAAGCCCCAGCACTTCCCATTCAACTAGCAGCCTCTCTAGCCAAAATAACCGGAGATAGGGAGGTGGCAGGAGGGTGACCCTTCCTTCCTACTCTTAACTTTCATTCCAATTGTTATGGGGGTAGGGGTTGGGGGGAAGGGGAGTGGGACCACTGAGCAAACAAGCTCTATAGGTCAGTCTCCTCCCCCTGTGAAACCTGAGTACCCTCATCTGTGACACTCACAGACAGACACTCTCTTGGGGCTGCATGGAGAGCCTTCACTAAATACTGGCTGTTACCATATTATCACTGGTGTCTGCCGCAATCCAGACTTCCTGGGTTGGAGGGATGTGGCTCTCCCTTAGGCAGGGAGTTCCCAGGGTTGGGTGGGGATGGAGTGGGGGTGGTTGAAACATTCCTTTGTTTGATATTGTTAGTATTGATAGGGATTCACAATACGCCCCCATGGTTGCAGACCTAGACACTTCCGCCTAGCCATCTCCGGGTCAAAATAGCCATTTCCGGGTCAAAACGTCTCACGTGACCAAGACCCCCTGGCTTTTCGTGGTTTCGTAAAGCACCCAGTGCAACCATGTGATCTACGCGCATGTGTGGAACAGCCACATGGGCCTGTGTGCGCAGGCACGGCCCAGCCTTTATAAGCTGGCGCCATATTCCCGGCTCCGTTCTTTATTTACGTGTATTTTCACAGGCCTGTCGCATCTGTCTCTCTTTTCTATATTAATAAAACTCTTGTTAGTGGATTCTGTTGTGTTTCGTGACATTTCCTCGCAGGGTAAGAGCGCCACAAATAACTAACAAGTATTCTTGTCTTCTTTTTGCTTCCAGGTCCCCAATTCCTTTGAGTCATCCTCAGGAGGCAGTAGAGGCTGAGTCTCAAGGCTAGCAGTGGCATGGAAGAAGGGAAGTGCTGTGGGATGGTCTTTCTGTATGCTGTAAACATGTGTTGCTCTCATTGGTTAATAGATAAAGCTGTTTGGCCAATGGTGAGGCAGGGTAAGGTTAGGTGGTGCATTCAAACTGAAGCCAGAGATGAAGAAGGGTGGAGTCAGAGCAGATGTCAACCCACCACCCAAGAAGAAACATGCAGCAGACCGGTAAAGCCACAGCCCTGTGGCAAAACATAGATTAATAGAATGGGTTAATCTAAGATGAAAGAGCTAGCTAGCAAGAAGCCTGAGCCATAGACCAAACAGTTTGTAATTAAGATTAGGCCTCTGAGTGATTATTTTATAGGCTGCTGTAGGCTGGGTGGGATACAGGAAAACTTCTGGCTACAACTGGTGCTCACCATTGGGCATCAATCCACATAGACCTGATGAAGTTTAAAAAGGATTCTTAATGCACAGAAAAGGAGCCACACCGGGCCTCCTGGTCTCACAGTCTTATGCCAGCAGCAGCGCAGAGATGTGTCTCCCAACCTGAAGATGGAGCTGGCCTCCAGCCGCCATGAGCTAAGCGAAATGGTGGTCTCCCAAAGTCTCTCCCACAGGCTGTGGAACCGAGAGGTTTCTCACAGCTGCTGCCTGTGGGCTTGAGAGCACAGCCTCAGGCTTAAGAACACAGCTGCACACTATTTAATACTAATTCCCAGAATTGGGGAGGTAAGTGTGACTCATTGGTACCTGTGCCATGTTGGAAAGCTGAGTGGGGAGGAGCCAGCAGCTAAAGCTGCACTTTTATCCTAGCCATGCAGATTAATAGTTTAAAAACTTTCCTGGTCAGAAAAGGATTACAGATACATAATAAAGTCAGATTCAGATGGAAAAAAAAAAAACCACCTCTAAACAGGATACAAGATGTTTAAAAATATATGTAGGCTTGAGAGAGAAAAAAAAGGGTAGAGAAAGTCCTTAAAAAAGAAATCAAGTAATAAAAAAATATAATAAGCCATGTAAAGATGGAAAATACACAGAGTCTGGATACTGTATATTATTGTGTTGTCTTTGGGATTTTTAACTGCAGAGAGACATTTGATTATAGGGACTGCTAAGTTAAACCAACATATATATCTTAAAGGTATCTTGACTTCAAAATTTGGGTCTAAGGATATGTTGCTTTGGAAAAGAGGTTCTGCTTTTGTTTCCACAGAAGATGAGAACTTGTGGATGGCTTCCAGGCTACTATGGTTTGATCAACAAGGCTCAGGTGATCCAACATCCAGAACAGCTTCAAGGCAATTGGCTGAGACGATGCAGCCTTACAGACTGCTACAGCCAAGATTTAACCACAATTCTAAATTTCTCAGGATCCCCATAAGATTGCTAATACCCCCAATCAGCAGCAAGTAGTATGGGAAGCTCTGCCCAAATTCTTAAAATATTGTTTATAAATGTTTGTTTATATTTGAAGGGGGATATGATATAGAAATGATGAAAAAATAGATATACTTTTAACAACTGTTAATCTCAAAATACTTTACATTGATATGGATTTGGGTTTTTTGCCCCCCCCCCCCAGCTGAGGATCGAAACCAGGGCCTTGTGCTTGCTAGGCAAGTACTCTACCACTGAGGTAAATCCTCAACCCTGGATTTGGTTTATTGATACTAATTTAAGGTCAATTTTGTTATACAGTATGTCTATTTCTGCTCTTGTTTAAGGTATTATGTTTATGCAACTCCTTTAAAATTGTAACGCATAATTAAGTAATACAGATTAATAATTAGTCATATGATAATCAAATTTATAGACATGTTAGTTAAGTTTTCTAGGTATACAAAGATATATTTTAATTAGGTAGGTAAGTCTTCAAAGACCTACAGAATATAGCATTTAAAATGTTTTAAGAACTTAGACTTTTCTGGACAATGAGAAAATTGTCCATCTGCTCCTGGCAGCACCAATTACTTCAAAGAGGATGATGGGCATCAAAGAAACTCATTATGGAGTTTGCTTACAAACTTGCCATTTGGGCAAGAAACTGCTCTTACCTGGACTGCTTGACAGTATGTTATATAAACTGGACATGTAGGATCCATAGGAAAGTGAACTTTGCCAAAACAGGGTGAGATGGTCCTTCAGGTTCACAGAAGAAACTGCCAGACATTCTGCAGGACATAGAAAAAAGCGACTGATGAACTTTGCCAAAATAGGCGATATGGTCCTTCAAATTTCCTTCTGCACTGAAAAATATGCCAGAGACTCTAGGCCTGTAGGATTGCGGCGAGCTCCTCGGCCAGCGAGGAAGAACGACCACCACTTGAGGATTCTTCTCAGATCACACTTTATTGGAGTGCCTCTTGATTAAGGGAGAGCTGAAGGTGAGGGGCCCCGAGAGCCAGAATGCAGCTGCTTATATGGGGTTTCAAGCAGACGTGCCGTACTGTGATTGGGTCCCGCCAGAATGCAAGCACGGGGAGCCACGGGATAGGCCGAGGACATAAGGTTGATTACCATACCCGTGCATGCGCAGGTCACAGGACACGTAGTCCCGAGAGCATAGCCATATATGGAGTTGTTTACAGCTAGGCTACTAGGAAGTCTGTGCCATCTTTGAATGGCGGCTCCCTACATAGGCTGAAGATGGATGCCCCAATGTTACAGAGGAATTTTGGGTGACTGTCTAGGCAGTCAGATGTATCTGTCATTTCTAGAATTTTGGAAGTTGCTTACGATGCACTTCCTGTTTACTCAGGTAACATTATATCCTTCTGTGGTCTTTGATGGAGTTGAAGACTAGACAGTTAAAATTATAGTTTTCCTTAGTTATGATAAAAGGTAAATTAGTCGGGCGGTGGTGGCGCACGCCTTTAATCCCAGCACTCGGGAGGCAGAGCCAGGCGGATCTCTGTGAGTTCGAGGCCAGCCTGGGCTACCAAGTGAGCTCCAGGAAAGGCGCAAAGCTACACAGTGAAACCCTGTCTCGAAAAAAAAAAAAAAAAAAAAAAAAAAAAAAAAGGTAAATTAGATATAAAACATTAGACTCACAAAAATAGGATAGATGATAGAGTATTTTCTTTAATTTTGACAAATACAAATAGACTAGATATTGTAACTATAATTCTTGCTTGGCATCTGTTTTGTTATATATAATCTTAATATGTTAAAATGAAAACCTTCCTTTTTGATTAGCCAGAAAAGGGGAAGTGCTGTGGGATGGTCTTTCTGTATGCTGTGAATATGTGTTGCTCTCATTGGTTGATAAAGCTGTTTGGCCAATGGTGAGGCAGGATAAGGTTAGGTGGTACATTCAAACTGAAGACAGAGATGATGAAGAAGGGTGGAGTCAGAACAGAAGTCAGCCTGCCGCCCAAGGAGCAACATGCCAGCAGACCGGTAATGCCACGGCCATGTGGCAAAACACAGATTAATAGAAATGGGTTAAATTAAGATGGAAGAGCTAGCTAGCAAGAAGCCTGAGCCATAGACCAAACAGTTTGTAATTAATATTAAGCCTCTGAGTAATTATTTCATAAGCTGCTGCAGGCCAGGTGGGACACAGGAAATCTTCCAGTTACAAGGAACCATGAGGGTCTCCAGCTGACCAGGGCAGTCGGTGGCTCCTGAGTGCTTCTGCTCACAGCCAGCTCCTAATAGCACCCCCCCCCCCATGGCTTTGTTGTTTAAGACACACATTATTTTAAGATACCTTTTAGAATCACATAAACAGTTCATGTTTGAGACATGAATGTTATTCTGCTGTTTGGGATGATATGCCTCCCTCCATGCTCCATGAAAAAAGAGCCTTTTCAGAAGTAATTAAGTTAAAATGAGGTCACCAGGGTGGCCCTGATCCAACTGACTGGTTGTTCTTATTATTATGTCCAAAGGAAACTCCAATTCCCCACACCCTAAAAGGCAATCCAAATATCCAGAAATGAGCTCAACCTGGACTATAGGAGGATTTCTGGTGGTTAGATAAAAGTCAGCATTCCTTAGGAACTTGTGAAGACTGTTCCCATCTGCAGAAGGAGTCATTTACCTAAGCTCTGGCAGAAGGGACATATGACTACCTGTAGCACCTATCAGCATATCAAAGCTCATGCTGGTGTCACAAGTACCTGTTACAAATCTCAAAGTCCATGCTAGCATCCTAGCCCTTCTCACCTCCTTCCTACCCTAAACTCCCTCCAGATCACAGGCCCCCTTCCCACCAACTACTCCTTCTCCTTACAACTTAACCCATTTCTATTAATCTACATACTGCCATGTGACCCAGGGCTTTACCTGTCCTCCAGTATGTTCTGCTCCCTCTGGGGCTGGCTGGCACTTCTCTCACTCCACCCTCCTTCTTCCCATCATTCTCAGTTTGGCTGTCCCACCTAACTTCCTGCCCGGCTATTGGCCTGTCAGTTTTGTTTTTTTTATTAACCAATGAGAGTAATACACATTCACAGTGTACAGAAGGATCATTCCACAGCATCCTTTCTCCCCTAAGTTGCTTTTTGTTAAGGTATTTTTTAAAAAAGTTATTCATTGGTGTTTTGCCATGGGTGTTGTGTTTCCTGGAACTGGAGTTACAGGCAGGTGTGAGCTGCCATGTGAGTGCTGGGAATTGAACCTGGGTCCTATGGAAGAGCAGCCAGTGCTCTTAACCTCTGAGCCATCTCTCTAGCCCCTTGTTCGGGTAATTTATTACAGCAATATTAGGTAAACTAGAACAGAGACCCTGCATTGGGTGGGATCTCCAGGCTCTAGTCTCAGAGTGGGCTTAGGGTACTTCGGGCTTGCCAGGGAGCAGAATGCCCTGCTAGGCCTGTAGAAGATCCCGGAGCCTCAGATCCAGGGTTAGAGAGAAGAATTCTCCAAGAGCAACCTGCCATGCTGCCAAACCAGGTACCCAGCCTGGCTGGGCTTCTGCAAGGGGTGTGTGTGTGTGTGTGTGTGTGTGTGTGTGTGTGTGTGTGTGTGTGTTGCTCTGGGCCCCAGAAGGCTCACTCTGGCCTTCCTGTCTCTCCTCCTCTGGCTGGTTACCCTCCCTCTCTCTTTCTCCAGCATGCTATGGAAGTCACTGAGGGCATACTAATGACAGCTCTGTGTATCACCGCTCAGGCTCCGTGTAGAGGGTGCCCAAGCCACCATTTCCACAGGACACTGAGATTCAGCCACTCCTGCATTGAGAGGAGGAGCCTAGACTCAAACCTAGGGCCGTTGTGGCTGCACAAACAGCTTCCCCATGGCTTGGGTACTAGCCCAGTGTCTGATGCCATCAAGATCTGACTCCTAGCCAGACCCTGACTCTGACCTCTATGTTGGTTGGGCAAGGCTTCTCCACGCTTTGGGAAAAGAGTCACCTTTACACTCAGCCAGCTGTGGGAAGGCATAAAGAGCAACGTCAGTTTTGCTTGATGTGGCATTGGTTGCCAAGGATACCCCCCATCCTGTCATTTCTATAAGCCATGTCTCAGCACATCCTGGGGTTCCAATCTCTACTGAGAAGAAACTTCTGTTACAATTTTTGCCTCCGCAGAAGGCTGTGTTTACAATAATTAGTTTCCTGAAAAAGTTGTCTTCGTCATCCTGCTTCCCTATTGAGTATTATGAGTTAACAGAAACTATCTAACACCTCCACCTTTTCGGTTGGTGCCCATGCATTTCCAGCAGTTACCTTCAGTCTGGGTAAATGTTGACATCTGTGTACAGTACCCAGCTTTTAAAATACCTCATCCGGGGGCCGAGAAGATGGTGCAGTGGTTAAGGGTGCACATTGCTCTTGCAGAAGATTTACATTTGGTTCCCAACACTCACATGGAATGACTCACAACTGCCTGCGACTCCAGATGCAGGCAATGCAATACCTCTGGCCTTTGAGGGCCAATACATTTGCATGCATGTACTTCTCTCTCTCTCTCTCTCTCTCTCTCTCTCTCTCTCTCTCTCTCTCTCTCTCTCTCTCTCTCTCTCTCTCTCTCTCTCTCTCTCTCGCTCTCTCTCCCCCTCTCTCTGTCACACACACACACACACACACACACACACACACACACACATAATTAAAACATGATAAAAATAAACCTTTAAAGAAGCCTGTCTGCCCAGGGCCCAGGACTGTCTTGAAACTCTTGGAGCACGAAATGTCTCATTTTACAGCAAAAGAGACTAGGACCCAAGCTGTCCTTGTCCAGGGGCCAGGCTGGCACTGAGCCCTGGCCTATAGTCTCCTGGCAGCCAGATGAGCTGATGTCCCTGCCAAGCAGCTCCAGGAGTATGGCCTATGGTTAGCCATTGCCTGTCTAGGTCCTGACTTATGGAGACTGAGACATGTTGTTTTTGTGATGAAGTCACCTGGGAACTGAGAGGCCCCTCTGGGTTAGAGGTGGGCAGCCCTCTGCCACTTGGTCTTGGCACCCACTCTCACCCTCAGTTTCTGAATCTGTGGAATAGGTTACCAGAAAATCCCTTTCGAGAATTAGAGCCGCTTGAGCAGAGGGAGCTTCCCTGGTCAGCTCTGTAGGAGCCTCAGTGCCAATTTCCTACTTCCTGAAGACTTCACGCGGCCACTGAGCTTTACTCTGGACAGAATTCTTCTTTCCCGTTTGGCAGTGGAGGTGGGAACCTTGGTTTCTCTAACAGGAAAGCAACAGAAATACAGTGCTGATTTATGCCAAGAGAAGCCACTGTGCTCTGGCCAAGCTGGGTTCCCAGCCAGGCTGACTGTAAGTCATCACATAGTGGAGCTGGTGAGGGAGTGAGCCACAGAGACTGAGGGAGGAAGCCCAGAGTGTCAGGGAAATTTGCTCAAGAGAGAGAGACAGAATGAAGCAAAGAAGAGTTGTGAATTTTTTTTTATGAGTAACCCAGAAAAGTGGGCAGGCTTAACCCTGCTACCTGGCTGCTCTGTAATCTACTGTTGAGTTTTTAATTTTAAATTAATCGACCTTATGTTGTGAGATATGCAGAACTTCCAGCCTCAGCCAGGGGAAGAAGAGGAGATAATTGAGGCCAATTGAGAGATGCCAAGGAGACATGGAGGGAGTCGGACATACATAATGAAAGAAAAGTAAAAAGCCATGAGGCAAAATGTAGATTAATATAAATGGGATAATTTAAGTTATAAGAGCTAGTGTGACAAGCCCAAGCTAAGGCCGAGCATTCATAGTTAATAATAAGTCTCTGTCATTAGCTGTGAACTGACAGCCCAAAGAAAATCCCTCTCCAGCCTTATGCTGTACTGGTGCATGCAGAACCAGTGCATTAAAACTTTGAAAAATGTCTTAAATTAGGAATATTTTAAACAAGTGTTTTGCAGTTTAACCAGGTGACCTTGGACCTTCCGAGGGTGTTGGGTTTCTGGATTTACAGGTGGGGCTCTAAGCCAACACACCTGCAGGTGCTTGTGGGAATTTGTCTTTTGAGTTTGGATTACTAAGAATGACCACACGGGCAGAAGCTTTAGAAATACTGAGTTTCCAGTAAGAGTGCAAATCCTCTTATTTGTCAGAAGTGAGGGGTGCCAAGCCTACAGGGTGTGGGTTTGTACTTTTATGTAACTTGAGGCTACTCTGTAGCCCTAGGGTCTGGGCTGCCCCCCTGGATCAGCAGCCTTTGTGGCCCCAGGCACCTCCGTTGTGGAAAGCAACAATGTTGTTACTGGTTTGAAGAGTCGTCAAAATTGTCACATGGTTTTCTTATATTTTAAAAGAAACTAGGAAACAAAACTTGGTCGAGGCTGGGTCCAGTCTAGGGCAGTAGTGGGGCACGCCTTTAATCCCAGCTCTGGGAGGCAGAGGTAGGCGGATCTCTGAGTTCAAGGCCAGCCTGGTCTACAAAGAGTGCCTGCCAGGACAGGTGGGGCTACACAGAGAAAGACTGTCTCCCATACAACCCCCTAAAAATTGATAATGGACAATGGATTTAGTTTGGTCAAATTGAAGAAGGAGAGGAGGGGCCAGTCTAATCTCTCCCCCATGAAAGGTAGGTGTGGTGGTTTGAATAGATATGGTCCCCGTAGACTCATGTGTTTGAATGCTCGATCTATAGAGAGTGGTACTATTAGGAGGTGTGGCCTTGTTGGAGGAAGTGTGTCACTGTGGGGGTGGGGTTTGAGGCCTCAGAGGCTCAGTCTGTGCCCAGTGTGGGACACAGTGTTTCCTTCTGCTGCCTGCAGATCAAGATGTAGAACTCTCAGCTACCTCTCCAGCACCATATCGGCCTGCACGCCACCTTGCTACCTGCCATGAAGATAATGAATTCTACCTCTAACACTGTAAGCCAGCCCCAATTAAGTATTTCCCTTTATAAGAGATGCCGTGGTCATGGTGTCTCTTCGCAGCAACAGAAGCCCTAACTAAGACAATAGGCAAATAGTCCTTTCCTGGAAGGGGGGTGTGGGGAGGGAACTTGGGCATCAGGGTAGCTTCACATAGTTTCCATTTAAGTCTGTAGAAGAAAATGGAGTCTGAATGAGCTCCTATTTAAAAAAAAAAAAAAAAAGAATTGGGTTTGTGGAAAGTAGGATTCCCACCCAAACTAGTCCTGGTGGAGTCATTTGTAACTTGGTTCTTTTGGTAGGTGGAGTGTGCAGGCGTCCTTGTCATCCGGGTCAGCTTCAGGATCTGGACTTAAGGGCCCAGTCAGGATCCCTGACCCTCAACTCTCTGACCTGTTGAGGTGACACTGGCCTGCAATCCCAGCATTGTGGAGGTGGAAGCAGGAGGATCAGAAATTCAAGGTTATCCTGGGCTACATCATGAGTTCAAGCATCGTGAGTTCAAGGCCATCCTGCATGACAGGGGACCCTGTCCCAACAGAACAAGCCAAAAGCCCCACAAGTTTGAAGGAGAATTAAAGGAAGAGGGGCAGTGATCTGGCCATTGAGGAGGGGCTCAAGTGTGGAGTCCATGCTGCTCAGCAATAGCAGCTTCTTGGTGCCCATTTCAATCCACACTGCAGCAGTCCCAGCACTCAGGAAGCAGAGGAGGCGGGAGGACCAGGAAGTTTGGATTTCAGGCCAACCTGGGCTACATGAGACCTGTCTTTAAAAACAAAACACAAAAATCAACAAAAATAACTTAGGTTCTTTTTTCTTTAGACTATCTGTGTGTGTGTGTGTGTGTGTGTGTGTGTGTGTGTGTGTGTGTGTGTGTATGTGTGTGTGTGTGTGTGTGTACCCACAGAGAGGTCATTGAGATTGTGAGCCACCTGACTCTGGGTACTGGGAACTAAACTCAGATCCTCTAAAAGAACCATCTCTTCTGATCCTCTGCTGAACCATATCTCCAGTCTCCAGTATTCCTTTTTAATTTATTTTTATTTTATTTTTGGGTTTTTTGTTTGTTTGTTTGTTTGTTTTCAAGAAGGGGTTTCTCTGTGTAGCCCTGGCTGTCCTAGCACTCACTCTGTAGACCAGGCTAGCCTCGAACTCAGAGATCTGCTTGCCTCTGTCTCCCAAGTGCTGGGGTTAAAGGCGTGTGCCGCCACTGCCTGGCTTTATTTATTTATTTTTTTTAAAAAGAGAGATATTTAAGCCAGTGGTAATGGTGCATGCTTTTAATCCCAGCACTTGGTAGGCAGAGACAGGTGGATCTCTGTTTGTTCAAGGCTAGCCTGGTCTACAGAGTGAGTTCCAGGACAGCCAAGGCTACACAGAGAAACCCTGTCTTGTAAACCCAATGAGAGAGAGAGAGAGAGGGAGAGAGAGAGAGAGAGAGAGAGAGAGAGAGAGTGAGTGTTTAAATGAAAATTCTAAAACTAGGCACTGGTGACCTTTGAGCCTAACCTTGCTGGGTTCCCAGCTGCAAACCTGTAACTTCTAAGATCCTGACAAACACTTTATAAACTTGGTTACAGTTAAAACATGAGTTGACAGCACGGTGACCTAGCATAGGACTTCAACCCGGGTGACCCTTCTCTAAGTCACCGGAGCGGAGCGCGTGTGGTTCTCAGACGTGGTTGTGTGACACTCCTGCCCTTTCGCTGGCTTCCTTCTTGGCAGTCCTCACCCACAGAGCTGCTTCGCAGGAGGACCCTGGGGGTTTTACTTGACTGTGTCCCCTGACTTCCGCTTCTCGGGTTCTGTCTTCTGCTTCCCACCTAAAAATTCAGCTGTCATCACGTATATGCTCTGGACGTTACAAATTGTGCTCTTCTGGTATACTAGTTTACCCCCAGGGACCTACAAAGCTACACCCCAACTCCTTCAAGATGGAGGAACGTTCAGACCCAAGGTTGCCCTGTCTAGTTCTGCAGGTCTGGGGATTGAAGTCAGGGCTCCAGGCATTTTATGTAAATACTCCCTCAGCTGAGCTACATCTCCAGCCCCAAGGTTAAGGTCCTTAGGAAATCTGAATCTGGGTGATATTTTTGAGTGATCTCTGTAGGGTCCAAGGAAATGCTGAGGGAAGACCCCAGACTCAAATAGTATGCAAGATCAAAGAGCATTTATTATACCAGCATGCAGGTGGGGTCGCTCACCTGTAAAAAATGGTGACGTCCTCGAGAGGGACAGGCAGGCTCCTTTTAAGCACAGCTCAGGGGAGTTTCAGGGTGAGCTACATAACTGGTTAAACAGCCACAGTTACATTAGTATATCTCTAATTGGCTGAGGCTCAGTCTTATCGTTTTTGGACACATCTGCACAAGCTGGACGTGACTCAGAAGGGGCTGCTGGGTTTGTCCTTGAGATACTGTGAGGCTGACTTAGGTCCTCTGTGCTTGTTTGTACTCTCCCTCGACCCTGACTGTAAGGGCCTTGTGGATAAATGGCCCTTTGTTGGAAAAGACACCTGTTTGCCCTTCTCAGAGAACTGAAACCTAAATTCAGTTGTGAAAGTCGGAGAGTTGAACCCTTTCAATCTGCACTGTGGTTTGTAGGGCCTCGGGGGAAGTTCCGGCTGGGTTGTGAGGATAATTCATCCCAGAGCAGCTCACGCTGCTAAGTGACTCATGATGAATCTAAATGGCTTTCACTCCCAGCACGTGGAGGTGAAGTTTACACCCAGACCTAAAGAGGAAGCCACGCCAGGACACCAGAAAAAGCCCTCTGCCACCACAGCAAGAAAATCAGAGCTCAAGTTCCTTAGTTGTCTTAGTTAGGGTTTCTATTGCTGGGACCAAAAAGCAAGTTGGGGAGGAAAGGGGTTTTTTGGCTTACACTTCCATATCACTGTTGATCACTGAAGGAAGTCAGGGCAGGAACTCAAACAGGGCTGGAACCTGGAGGCAGGAGCTGATGCAGAGGTCATGGAGGGGAGCTATTTACTGGCTTGCTCCTCATGGCTTGCTCAGCCTGCTTTCTTATAGAACCCAGGACCACCAGCCCAGGGATGGCACCACCCACGGTGGGCTGGGCCTTCCCCCATCAATCACTAGTTAAGAAAATGCCCTACATCTGGATCTTATGGAGGCATTTTCTCAGTCGAGGTTCCCTCCTTTCAGATGACTCTAGCTTGTGTCAAGTTGACATAAAACTAGCCAGTACACTAATGAAACAACCATGCAGGAAGTAGCCGGACTGAGCTTTCAAAGTGACACGTATTTCAAACATGTCCTCTTTACAAATTGCCACCAAGACCACAAATCAAAACAAGGTCCACATGGCAAGGTTACAAGGAACTCTGCAGATCATAAAACTAAATCATTAGTGAGCCAGGCAGTGGCAGGGAGATCTCTGAGTTCGAGGCCAGCCTGGTCTACAGAGTGAGTTGCAGGACAGCCAGGGCTACACAGAGAAACTGTCTTGGAAAAAAACCCAACCAACCAACCAACCAACCAACCAACCAACCAACCAAAACCAAGCCAAAACAAAACCCTAAACAATTAGAGCTCCATGCAAGTAAAACCGACACCCTCCCCTCCATCACCAGTTCATCAACATGTATATGGAGCAACTGGCACCTAAGGATGAGGTCCAAGAAATATCCATCCCATCCACTCTGAGGATTCATCAGCCACAGGCTTGCCTCACGGTTGGCTCACAAAAGTTACTGGGTACTTGGATTCCTTAAATCTACTTACCACATTGCTTCCCTGTGTGTTTTTTTTTTTTTTTTTTTTTTGGTTGTTTTTTTTTTTTTTTTTAAAGATTTGATTATATTTATGTGTATGTGTGTCAGCATTCATGCAAGGTGCCCGAAGAAGCTATGGGGTGTCCTCCCCTGGAACTGGAGGTACAGGTGGTTGTGAGCCCCCTGAGGGGGGGGTGCTGGGAACTGAACTCCCATGGTCTGAAAGATCTTTAAATGTTCTTAACTGTAGAACCATCGCTCTAGCCCTGTTCCCTGTATTTTAAAAGAAATTGGGGGCCAAGAGAGATGGCTCAGTGGTAAAGGCACCCGTGGCCTATGCTGAGGATATGAGTTTAATTCTCAGGCCCCACATGGTAGAAGGAGAGAACTAACTCCTCCAAATTGTTCCCTGACATGTATGCGGCGCGCGCGTGCGCGCGCGCACACACACACACACACACACACACACACACAGAAAGTAAATAATACAAAATGTAAAGAAGAAATGGACTAGGGAGATGGCTCAGTGGGTTAATTACTTGCTGCAAGAGGGTGAGGACCCAAGGTCAGATCCCATGTAGAATGCCAGATAGCCATGGCAGTTCACCTGTGATTCCAACCTTGGAGCCCCAGAACAAGCTGGCTGTTGTGCCCCGATTGTAACCCCCAGAGAGACCACCAAGGATGAGCATACCAGAATGCAAAAGCAAGGTTTATCTGTTACAAGTCATGACAGGGAACTCATCTCAAGCCATCTGAAGTGAGGCAGAGAAGAGTTACTCTTTCTTGGGGAAGTTAGTTTTTATAGGCAAAACCCATAAAATTTCTTAGAGGGGAGGGGGTTAGTAC